CCCTCAGAAGTACCTGTTTGATGGCTGAGTAGAGGAAAAATCCTTATTTTGAAAGATGTCTTCTTAGCGTAGATTATTGGAGGGAAGTATTTCAAAATGTATTCTCTACCCTTACAAAAAGGAACACAGGAAAAGATTTCAAGTTAGGCACACAGAGAAGCATAGAAGTAATGATTTTGATCAAAATCAAGACTTTCGACCCTATATGTCATGTATTTCAATGGGGACGTACTTTACTGTAAATACGTGTTTCCAACTTCGCAAAAAATGAATGAATTAATCACCATCCAAGGTAATAGAGCGACGAAGGCGCGACTATAGCGGATTTGTTTGCCCGAAGGGCAAACAAACTAGCTAGTGGTACATGTAGACTCAAACTCGAAATCGAAAGAGATAGATGCAAAGTAAGGAAAAGAAAAGAAGTAGGTTAAATGAAACAGATGTAGGGGAACCTGTGACGATGTGAAGGTTGACTGCTTCTCCAAGGACGCACTGGAATCCTTCGGGATGAGAACATTCGTCCTCCCAGGTCTGGGTGTTGTAGTAATTGGACGTTATGAAGGCGGATCCATCCGGATGAATAATGACCCTCATGACTGTGTAAACCGTCTGACCCTCAATCTTGCTAAGTGACAAGCCGGGGAATTCTAGGATAAAAATCTCGTCTCCTGACTCATCTATACCAGAAGGAGTCGTGTCATCGCTTTTCCTCACCAGCATGAAGGAGTACATGAGAATACGGACCTAGGACGAAATATTACTAGAAGCAAATAGATCCAACCTCTGTGACAATCACCTCAGGTGGCAGGGCAATTTTCACAAGCAGTGACATCTACAGTAAGCGTGAATTGAATGAATGGTTCCAATAGAGCCATCAGCAAATCGTACGATCCTGCTGTAAAGCTGCGAATGAGAGATGATCGCCCTCAAAAAATGAGACCTTCTACAAATGCCATTCAGGAGATAGGAAGAGACTCACTCGGGCTGGTACCTGCCCCTTTCGACGAGAGAGACTTCAACGACAAGCGTACAAGCAGCATAGAAATCGTTGATGATGAGACCCATTTCCGTCGCCACCTCGTAGGCGGTAAACCCGGCGTCCCCTTCAGAATTCACAAAGGCGAAAGCGAGGAAAAACGTTCCATCAGATGGCAAAAAAAGAAAAACCTCCTGGTCACATCGCCTCTTCGTTATTGATACTTCCATTGAAATGACATAAGGAAGTCCGTCTTACGGGTCATGAAGTTTTGGAGTCCGAGGACAGACGGAATTTGCAGTTCGGACTCCCTATATTGCCATACCTTGGTATATAAAAACGCCAGCTGCCAAGAACATTCATCTCAGTCAATATACAATCCAACAATCAATGTTTATGCACAGCACAAACTCAACGTCACAATATATAGGGTGGTTCAAAAATAACCCTCTACCGTAGATGCAATTTGGTGGAATGTTTTGTGCCCCCTTTCCCATATTTCTGAAAAATAGATATCCTCATGAGAGGTGTTATTTTGAGACATTCATACCAAGCATTTAGGACTCACGACAGGTTCAGGAACAGTGGCATCTTCGCACAAGTTGGTGTCGAAATTGGCAGCTACGATATGACCAGCCCGAAGAGCTGTGACGAAGTCATCAAACGACTCCAGGGATCCTCCTGCCATGCACAGAAACGCACAACCCGATGACTGCATCATGATGATGTCAGGAGGTATATATTTTTCATAGAACTGTATGTCCCCTGTCGAATGCTGCAATTAATAAATGCTCCTGTGGATCTCTACTCGCGTAACGTACTCCTCTGCATTGAATAAGTTCTGAAATACTATTGGATTCTTACATAGTGATTGACCGGATTTAAAATTTATTGCGATGATCATAGAGCAATTAGTATCATTTTTCTTCAGGATGATGCTTGATTACAACAGACAGCCGTATTTCCTTGTAACGCACTCAAGCATATGATTGAAATTAGTAAACATTTCAGGTTCTTTTATACCGGTCAACACCATTAATAGTTTATTAAAACAATTACTTTCGATGAAATATGCCATGTATAGTCGGAAGACCAATTAGCGTAGTTTTTCAATTAGTATTGGGTCTTCATATACGGAGCCCTGCCATAATATTTTAGCTATCCCCATGAATGAATGTATCAAACCTCACCTTTCGTATTTTAGGTGTGATTAGGTATTAATAGGACGTTCAAGTTCTAATTGGAGTTGTGTCATTTAAATTCTTCCCCTGGGTACTCCTAAGCCAAGGCATGAATCCGAACGAGCACCTGTGGGCATGTCTGGATCCTCAACTTTCGACGACACATTCAGGCCTGACCATTGACATTAAATTAGTGTATAGTCTCACGCGGATATGGGGGACCTTGGGACAGACTCTGCTGAAGAATTTCATTAATTCGATGCCAAACAAGATGCACTCTTTTTGGGCATGACAAATTTGGCTCACCGAAGTACTAAAATAAAAAATCTCATTTGATTGCGTGGGTATTTGTCTTTTTTAGCACCAAACTCACATATAATAACACCAGAATGCCAAATTATTATGATATGCTACTGTATTTTCCTTCTGTCATGATCAGCCAAGTACGGAATGATTGTTTGGTGGAGCATGGACAAAAAATGTCTTCAAGTCTCCAAAACCTGGGGTTATGCAAGGAATGAACATGCATTTAATTCTTCCTGAGCCAAAGCTTCATGAGATGCTAAAGTGAAGTTTCTGGAATGAATGTCTTTTAAGAAAACGATAGCCGTACTTGGTTGGATGCATACGATAGCTAGGTTCAGAAACCGCGAAATTCTCCAAATAATGTAGAACGGAATTCTCGGAAGAAGTATCATACCTTGGGCCGAGGTAGAGGAGGTCTGCAAGCATGGCAACCTCTCTTGCAATCTAATTCTGTGCGACCCGGATGTGGGTGTCCTTCAATGGAATCTTTCGTAGTGAAAAGCAAAGTTACCATGGCTTCTCTTTTCCCACATGTGGTCCTCTTCCCACTGGAATTTCGTCACTTGATTCATTCTCAGGGGCGACGTGTTCTATCGGGTGTCTTCCTCCTCATCATTTGCCTACAGGGTGAGGAGGTTGAAACTCTTTACGAATCGGCAACCCTGCTGTGGCCATTGCTCCAATCCAAATTAATCCAAATCCAAATCCGCACTGGAAACAATCCCATGAATAATTCTTCATCCGAGGTACAATTGCCTTTGATCCTTACATCCGCATGACCAGGCATGCCCGTAGGCACTGTGGATACCCGGAGGACATCCTTCTGAGCTAGACAGGCTTGATTGGTGGAGTGAGCTGGGTCCCCTACGAAACTGGGTCCCCTCTGACAAGGGACCCAGTTTCGAAATTTAAGAGGTAAGCATGGTTCTTTTTAGGTTCGTACAGTGGGTATGCAATTAACATACGAGATAGAAGCCGATGCATTATGAACATTTATATTATATCGGGCATGGACGGAGAGACCTTCCATCTTGCATGTCCGCAAAAAAAATGAAGTTCCAACCATATCAAAGAGATGAACCCGCCGGTTTTCATGTCTCGATTCCCCTGATGATAATGGATGGTAATGTTTCATGATGCACTCGATATATTCCCATGTACAAGCTAAAAGAAAAAAAGAGGAAATAAGTAATAAATGTGTCTAGAGAGGGAACCCAGCTCAAGGAGACACCGTGCGATTATTGCGCAATGGAGGGAGTGGGGGTTGGTTAACCTCATCCAGGGGCCGTCGTTGGGTTCAGGGACCCTGATTATATTTTCTTCTATCCTAAATTTCCTTTCATACTCAATGAGAATAAAAATATTTTTTCATTTCATTGCATTTCGAGGTATATATGAGCAAATGGCGAAGTATGAAACGATTGAAAGTCGTTCATAAGCCTTTAATTACAGGAAACTAATGTACTGTACATCCCCATTACATCCTCCAACTGCTCTGCATCCCAATACCGCCTCCTTTTGGTGCATATTGGCCATGAGCAACCGTTAAAGGACTGTCTTTTTGGGGGGTCCAAATGAATGTTCTATTCCATTCAACGCTTCATCTGATCGAGATCTGGTTTTCATCATTCGAAAATCTGAATAACGTACCTTAGAAAGAAATTCATTTTGTAAAGAAATTTAAAGAATTTAAAATTATTTTTCCCTTTGGAAAATGCTTTGGCACTTGAAAACACACTTGCCGCGCCGAGTCCAATTGACTGTTCGAGTTATTGTGCACCAGCTGTGATTAATTCCAGTTCGAGGAGAATCGAGGAAAATGGCTTTTAGAGATCGACCATTGATAAGCGAAGCAATAGTTCCCCTTCACTCCGAACGTGACGGAAACCACTCGACAATCCAGGACGAAATTCGCGTCAAACACGCAAATTTATGTTCCACATCAACTTGAATTTTGCAGACTTTCTCCCATGGGACGCCCTCTGACATTCGAACGGGCAATTCGACACGGTGCAGGCATTATTCCAGGTGCCAATGCAATTATATGCCCCGCAGAATAAGAATTACATTTTCGAAGAATACCAGATGCAAATGAATTCGAAAATCCTTCTACGGAGATATAATTGTCTCGTCTTTTCAATGTTGAAAGCCTCATCTTGATCAAACCCAGTGTTGAGAAGTAATTAACGCTCCTAAGGAAGCAAGACTTGACTCGCCCTATACTTTCCATACAGTAAACATTGTCATTCCCAAGCAGACATTAAAGACGGAAATTCGTATTGTATTGTACATTTGTCCTATAGTATGAAGTATCCCAGTTCGAAGTGGAACCATACGATTCTGGCCCACAGCTCGAAGTGACGTAGTGAAGATCGAAAGTGCGACATTAGTGTGCTTCGTAAGACTTTTTGACGTAGGTCTGTATCACTTTCAATGAACCCATGGGACCCAAAACCTGAAGAGGATCTCATTAAGTTCTTTCCGGCAGGTCAGGGCCTTGTCGAAAGCAAACGGCGTTCCATGAAAAACAGCTTAGATGAATGGGTGCAGCAACGAATCAGTCGGATTTTATTAGACTCTACGCTTCGCCGAAGATCATGATCCCTGCACCGAGGGCGCATTCCAAGACGGCATCGCCGAAGTCGTTGCCCCACGCGCCGCTCTCGTCGGCCCGCCAGTAGCCTGGGTAGGCGAGGGCGTTGTTGCTCGTGTCGACGGTCGCCGCGAAGGTCTCGTAGGCCACGCCGCTGTTAGGGTCGCTGTGGACTCCGAAGCCGGATCCGAACATCCTCTCTTCGGGGGCTGCAACGAAGATAAAAATCACATTCGACGCTGGAAACATTAAAGGTCCGGCGTGGAACGGTGTTTGGTGTCGCTGAGAAACGCGCATGGAGCGATTATCGGGGAATGAAGCAGGCAGGGAGTTGAGCTACCATGATCACAGGAGTTTTTTAATGCAATAAAATAATAGGAAAGTACTGTTAAGTGTATTCTATGGAATTAATGAGTTATTTCGCACAATCACTCAATTAAGTTATTACGAAAAATCAGGCGAAGATAGTTGGAATGGTCACAGGTACCACAAAAAAAAACGAATCGAGCCTCTTCCTTAATGAATGCAGGGATTCCCAGTGCATCTTATGCCTCGTGATTTCGAAATGTTTTCATAGAATGTTATTGGAAGTTACCTGGAAGTCATTACAAATGGTTACTTGAGTGCCAAAGAATCTCTTAATGCGTATGACAACCTGAAATTTGTCCAGACAATTATTTTTGGTATGGTATGGCATGACATTTGGTATGTCATCCAATGTCAATGCTTTCTGTAACATTTGTGCTCCTGGTCAATAAGGGATGGAAGTGAATAGATATCAATTTAGAGGAATTCAACTCGCAGTTTAAGCTGGCCCAATTTTACCTCCAACTTGAGCGTTCTGAAGGATGACGCTTACCGCGAATGTTCCTCACGCCGATGAGGGACAGGAGCCTCTTCACTAGGTTTTTCTTAGTGTTACATTTACACTGCAGAAATTCATGTTTGGGGCTGTCACTGATTCAGAAGTCAACGCATCCAGATCGAAACAGAGACGATGCGTCTCTTTCCTCCGGATATGCACCAAAATGCATGCAGGTGGAACCCAGAAGAAAAAAAGCGGTTGCTCACTGCCAACGCCAAGAATCGTGACGTATCGGAAGTACGCGCCGGCCGTGAGACCGGTGAGGTCGAGTTCGCCTGTCGGGTCCTCGCATTGACTGAAGTCGATCTCGGCCGTGAGCTTCGATCCGCTCAGTTGGGCATCCATCACCGATGCGTAGGTCGTCAGCTCCACGCTATAATAATGCATAATAGACAGGTCATCTCCCTCGGACGACGAGACTCTGAGACTCACCGATTAAAGGCAGGGGCGGTGAAGGTGACCCCGTCACCGATGTCACACGTGAATGCTGATATATCTGGCACGTCGCCCGGATCGACAGGGTTGAACGCGGTGACCAGAACCTGCAGTACGCCGTCCTCTCCCAAAAGGAATTCTTGGATGACGACGTCTCCGGCGCCTGTGAGAAATGAGACGGACGAGTGAGGCGATGAAAAAAAAGCTTTAATCCGAACACGAAGTATGATTCTCATCACGGTTAGCGATGGATTGCGAGAAATGGATTCCTGGCGTTTCTCCGGCTACATCATCAGCCCAAGCGAGGATAATGGCTCCAGCGGCCTGAACAGAGAAAGAAAAAAATTCCAGTCTCACGTCTTTTGTGAAGGACTGTTTTATACGATGTCGAGCTGGCTCTCGTAACGAGGCATTCCTTCAAATATGGAAGGATTTCAGGAAACGAGCGCAAAATACGCATGAGGTGCGGAAATAGTCAACATGATTGTCTCCGTGCTATAGGTACGCGATGCTATCATTTAACTGTCTGTGGAAATGATGCAATATGTAACTTTCATGTCCGCATGTGAAATGCTTTCTTTCGGAGGCGTTTCATCATGGGAAGCTATTGCGATTTTTCCAAACCTTTTCAGTTATAGGACGAGCACAAAAGTCAGATGGGTCCTCGCAAAATCGAACGCGCAGTCGTCGTCCAGGCACAATCCCGATTATTACTACAATGAACGCCTTTGAAAAATGAAAAAAAGCTCGAATTATCAGGTTGTCGACATTTGAAAGCGCACCGGGCTTTCCTGTTCATGGCTTTCTGAATTACTCAGAAACGATCGACGTAAAAATCCTCCAAAAAACGCAGCATTTTTCAGTGTGCGATGATCCCAAGAGGCATTTAAATAGTTCATAAAGTGCAGTCTTTTGGAACACATTGGATTCCTACAGCAAGGATTCTCAAGATGGAGTACCACCTCTCATGATACCATTATGAAACAAGTGATGAAAGTTCAAAGAGCATTTCTGGACACTATCTGGAATAAGTGACAGGTTTCTAAAACACCACGTTCTTTGCGTTTCATTTTTTTTTATGTGTTCCGGAGTGAACATTTTTTTGCAATGTAGACAACGCACTCAGTATATCGTCCGCTGATAATCATCGATAGGCAGGCAAACGTGCCTGCTGGATTCGAATGAAGATCAAATTAAGGAAGGCGTTGTACCCTGCCCTCAGAGGAAGCTCTAAAGAATGGATGAGCGAGGAATCACCATGAGTCCGTCTGGAAAAGTGCCGGAGCACGAGGAGACATCCACCGAGGCCTGAAGGTCCTTCCCCTCCATGAAGGCAGCCTCCACTTCGTCGTATGACCCTAAGGTGTCGATTGCGTCGCCTGCAAGATGCAAAGACAACGAATGCTAGGTCGAACATCAGACTTCTATCGGAACGAGACCGATTGAATTATATTTGAACCTCTCTCCGACTGAGATTGAAACTGACATTATTTATCTTCCTATCCTCAATAGTCATTTATACGTAGAAAGATGATACTTTCCAGAAGAGAAATGTAGCAATGCGTGGAGTGATACCCTCAGGGCATCGGATATTTACCTGAAGCATAGTAAGCGTTGACGTTTTCCCCGAGGACGCACTGAAATCCTTCAGGATTAGGATATTCATCCTCCCAGGTCAAGCTGTTGTAGGCATGGGAAGTAATATGTGTGGATCCATCCTGAGAAATGGTTGTCCTGATCACCAAGTAAACCGTCTCTCCCTCATTAACGCTGAGGGACAAGCCAGGCCATTCCAAGACGAGCACCTCGTCTCCACCTGCGTCTGCACCCGAAGGAGCCATTGCAATTACTTCAGCCATTTGCAGGAATGAAGCGGCATGGAGAATTCGAACCTGAGAGGACGTAGTACTGATAGTAGGTCGATCCGGACTCGACGAGTGGAACCTCGGGCGGCAGGGAATGCTCGCAGTCGGTGATTACCGCAGTCAATACCAATTGACGTCCTTCAGTCAGTGCTGTCATCAGATCGTCGTATGATGTCACAGGGGTGCTGCAAAAAGTAGAAGCTCAACCTCAGCAATGCTAACAAATTGGTTCCATCTAGCGAGGACTCTTGGTACTGCAACTGCGAGAGAGTTAGCTAAAGTTTCGTATAGTGTGGTGGTGATGATTTATTTATGAAATTGACGTCACGTGCTTCTTATCAGGTGAATGTAAATTTTGTATGAACGTGATATCACTTGCATGACATTCGCAAGAAATTGACATTGCAAAAAAATTGATATATCGTTCATGTAAAGATGCTACTTGGGCTTCTTACACAGCACGGCCGTTGTTCAGAACCGTTGGAAACTGAAAATGTGTACAGAGCAGATCTGAGAGTGGGCTTCCCCTATTGGTGGCGGAGTACTAAGTTTCAAAGTACTTCATCAGAGACCTGCCTAGAGTTCATAGCTTGACGTGGACAAGCCTTATGAGCCAAACGCGATTCGCGGCTCGGAGCAGCAGTCTCGGTCGACGATCGAGCTCCGTGTCGAGAAAGTCGACCCGTGCAGGCCTCTGACGACAGGCATTAGGACGCATGACGACAGCATCCGCAGTGGCCTTTTTTACGTTTGGACAATAAGTATTTCCGCCAGGTGGAAAAGCTTTCGATCGACACATGACGTATTAAAATCTGTGAATCCATCGTGGAGGAGTTTCTCGTCGTGCCACGCTGACAGATTAGCCTCTTTACAGATGCATGAGGCCCTCAATGGGAAGAAAATAAATGAGAATCGCGCCGCAGAATTCCCCGAAGCGAATTTCTACCGATTGGAGGAAACTAGACTCTGTAATGCAGATTGGTTCCATGAGCGAAGGGAACAAATACGAAAAGTTGGATGCCAAGCTCTCGTGTGTGTCAAGAAAAATATAACGAAAGGAACTCACTCCGGCTGATGGTTGTCCTTCTCGACGAAGGTGGCTCCTGTACCGAACGTGCAAAACGCGGTATAACTGGCCTGTATGAGGCCGGTCTCCGTTGCCACCTGGTAGGCGTTGAACCCGGCAATCCCGGAGGGCGTCAAGTACGAGAAGACGACCACGAACGCCCCGTCAGCTGAGACGGCAAAGGATCCAGCTGATTTTACCTCCACATGGGGGAGGGGCGAGAGGGAGGTCTGAACTCACGCGTCATGAAGTTGTGCATCCCGGTGATCGCAAGGCCTGTCTCGAGCGTGTCCACGTATTGCCACTCGTCGAAGTGCAAGGACGCCAGCTGCCCGAACGATAGCACAAGTTCATTCTTCGGCCGAGCAGAGAAATTCTTTCTTACGTTCTACCTTTTTTTTCAGAACCAAACAACGGTACTTCTATTGCTAGTACTTCGAATCGAGAGACATCTAGGGATATTCCAAAATTCTAAGCATCTCTTCGAACTTCGTGCTTGAAATGGAAATGAAATTGGGTTCGGCTTTTTTCTTCTCGGAGTGGATATCGTGGCAAAAAGGAAAATGAGAAAAAAAAGAAGAAAAAGGGTCGTATGCGACTCACGATGGGTTCGGGAACGGCCGAGTCTTCGCACTGGGTGGTGTCGAAGTTGCCGGTGACGAGGTGGCCGGCCCGCAGCGCCGCGACTACGTCGTCGAAGGTCTCCAGCGGTCCTCCTGGAACACATCGCGAACGGGTTAATGATTTTTTAAAATTATTCTTCGTAATGCTCGTCGGGTGCTTTCTTGAGGGATGCGAACTCTCAGGCTGGGATTCTTCGAAAAGAATTGTCCTCAATTGAAGTTGTGGAAGGAAAAAAGTTGACCAGCACCGAATCTAGTCCGTTTCCTTAATTTTGTTAACCGAAAAAAAAACAATACCATTAATCGTGGTAATTCTATAACGCGATTTGGAGATATTTAATATATATTTATGATAAAAGTATATGAAACCGTTTTCCCTTTAAATAACTCATGTGATCACCTTGGACCAGGATGGCCGGGAGGAAGGCGGCGAGGCCGAGGAGGCAGAGGAGGTGTCGGAGCATGGCGACCTGGAGAGTGGAATCCGCTTCGAGGGCGACCTGTGTCCGGGCGTCCCGCGACGGGCGCTTTTATGGGGGACGGGGAGGGCGTTAGCGCGGCCGGGTGGTCTCTCGCGAGTCTCTTCCCATCGGAAAACGTGGCATGTGGTGGTGGCTCCACGTTGGCGGTTTCTGGTGCTTTCTTGTCATTTTCTGGGAAAAATGGAATAAAAAAATGTGAAAAGCGGAAAACACCAGGAATCGTAAGAAAAATTCCGAGTTGAGTCATTGACGCCATTTCACGTTGGTTGGCAGAAGGAATTTCCGGCCGAGAACATGTCCATGAATCACCACCGCGATGTTAGTATTGGTTTTCAAGACGACTGCTTAAAATTCCCACCGTGTCCTCATCGTTGCACGTCTTCATCGACGAAAAAAAGTTTCTTTCCTCTGAGAGAGAGCGTCTCATGAAGTGCGACATGGGATCCGTGACTCTTGAGTCCTTGATGAAAATCGTGGTTGTTATTTTTTTTTTGCCCTATCCTGTATCGCATCGCACTTTCGTACTCTGGGACCCTCGCGAGGTGAATAAGAACCCCCGAGAACACGTGTGATACTGTATGACTGACACGAGACATGTTTCTCTGGAAAGGAAGTTCGCAATGTGATGAGGCTTCCCATAGTGTTTCCCCATGAGATTGGCATAGCACATTATTTCCTGAATTTCTTCCGCAAGGATTTAGTTTCAATTGATTACTTACACATTAAGTTACAAATATATATATATATATATTTTTTTTTTCAAGAAAGGACACGCAGCGGACGCAAGCGATAACGGACGGATTACGGTAGAAACAGAGGAAACGGGGTGCCTCTTTGGCACAGGCACCACAAGCCAAATCCTCGATAGAATACCCTTCTGATCTTCTGTGCCTCATATGATGGCGTTGAGGTGACTCAGGGCTGAATCCATTTTTTTAGGGTGTACTGCATTTTTATTTCCCAGACGTGGGACGCGGATGCGTGTTGTCTCACGCTGCGCAGGCACTACCTGCGAAAATGAGTGTGTCGCTTGTCTGGCTCCCAGGCTTTATTCCAGGCCCTTACGAAACTATCCTTTACGATCTTATGAGAATTTTTAAACATAAAAATCGATTAGGATCCTATTGGATTTTCCGTAAGTGGAACCAGGACCGCTCGGCCAGGTGACTGAGGTTACCTTGTTTTTATCTTATTGAGAAATTCCCGAGATATGAGAAGTTCAATAAGCGTCTGGAAACGAGGTGCGCAAGCTATTTCTGTGCATAAAAAGTTGCAAATATTCCTCATTTACAAACATTGTCATATCACTTCCTAGATTTAATTTCATCCGGAGAAATTTTCTCCACATTTTGAACCGAATTACTCGGTAAAGTCACGGGAATGTCACTAAATGTCTTTGGGTGAATACATCAGCATAAAACTTACGAATTTATTCAGGACAAAGGTTACACCGGGGATGTGATTTGGCTTAAAGGGAAGAGGAAGCCAGCTCCTTAAATCCCTTCCCCAATATTTCCGGCATTTGAGAAATTTTTATTTGCTTTGCTTAGTATCACGGCATTGAAACTTCGTCGAATTTTCTGCACTTCTTCAGGAGTTTTTCCCAGTAAAGTTTCACGAGCGATTTGCAATAACGCCATAACCGCAATAATGGAAATTGGATTGTTTGGCAAGTCTCCCGTCGTGAATATTTCTCCCACAAACTTGAAGCTTTAATAGATTTTATGGTACGCTAAGTTAGCCTCAAATTTGCTCAACTCTTTCTTAATGGTTGTTTCCTCGGCGAAGAGTATGTTTGAGTGCCTTGAGAGGCGAACTGTCCTACCGTTATGGAAAAGCGGACAAGGTCATACATGCTGATGAGTTGATGCGGCATAAGATGACAGGAAATGACTGGAAATGACTGGAAATGACAGGAAATGACTGGAAATGCACTGACAACAACAATATTACGGGTGCGGCAGAATGAATGGCGGGGTCAGTATTCCGTCAATTCCCATTTTTCGTTGCTCGGACTTGAACTTTTTTTAATTTAAAGATTCTCTATTGAATTCTTTACAAAGCGGTGCATCCTTTGCTTGCAGCATTTCTTTCTCAGATCATCGAAAGTGAAGACTTCTCAAACATTGTAATTTCGAAATGCAAAAATGGAGACGAACCAGCGAAAATCGTCCGCGATTTGAACGGCGCCCTGCGTCTTCCCTCAACCGAGCGATGGTGCAAGACGACCTCCCGAGCTCCCGACACGGGCATCCTCTTTTCCGATGAGAGGATGATCCACATTGACATTACAGCTCCCAAAACGATTGAGAGTGGGCGACGGACCGTGCTGAAGCCGATGAGAAGGGAGGCATCAAGCAGGAACTGAAATTGCCTCAGAAGGTCTTGCTCTTGTTCGGAACTTGATTGAAGGGTGGCATACCGCTGCACAGTGGGCTGTGAGGGGGGGGGGGGGGGCTGGTCAGGCAATATTAGGGTAGTGCAGGAAGAAATCTTCAATCGAGATGTTTCCACACAGCGTCTTTCGATGAAGTATATGATGTTTCACTGATTTCAACCCAAAATCTTTGCAAAATCAATTTCGCAATTCCACAGACTCTCCTTCCTGTAGCCAAGTAGGTCTCATGCGCTACTTTGTTCGGAATGCTAGAAGCAGCCATTTATGCCACACATCTCTTGTCAACACATCTCTTGTTATTCATGTTGCTACAACTTGCTGAAAATATACTCCCCACGGTTTCATTCCTAATACAAGCACCAACTTCTGGTGAGAAGCAGAATATTGTCGTCTAATCTCAAAAAAAGATACAGCCCTATAAATTCAGAAAATTGCAAATTTTCCGTCATTCCTGGAATTCCCCCCCCCCCCGTGACTAGCAGGGGACGAGACCACCAGCTGCGAATGATGAATTATTTTGGCTCGGGCATTACCTCATTCAGGGGTATAAGTCAAATCGAGATTTAGGCAGTCTTTCATAGTTCACCATTTTTCCAATATCGGTCAGATTTTTTACAATATTGATGAATATTTCCGTGCCGTCAATTTGACATGATAAAAATGGTGTTTTTGTTTGCCTCATCTATAAAATATTGTTAAATTTCCATGGGTCTGGGTTCCTACACTCTTAGAAAAAGGGGAGCGATTTTTCTCACAAAAGAGAGTAAAATAGCTAACTCCAGTTTCCCCCCCCCCCTTTCACTCTAGGAAAGGAGCGAATTTACTCCATCACCAAGAAGTAAAATTGCTCTCCTCCTCTGTGAGTAAAAACGCTCCCTTCAGAAAGTGATAGGGATGTCATGCAAATCAGAAAATTCTCACATATATTCTGTGTCGCTTTCGTTCTTGCATAGGCGTTGACCTACCTCTGACTGTACTGATTACAGTACACGTCAGAGGTTGGATCACCTCTTATAGGCTCTGTGGAGTATCCGGGATATCAGTCCCTTATTACCTCATTTCATTGAGGTCTGATTGAATGAGTTCGAAATCTGCGTGGAGTCTCTGCTCTGGAGTCGCCATTAACTACCCCGTGGATGGCCGCCTCGTGTTCTTCCAATGTTTTTTAATCTGCGATCATATTTCGCTTCCAAATAGCCCCGCAAAAAATGTCAGAGTTACTATTTGAAAAATCACAACTTGAGGGGAGGAAGAAATGACTTAATTAATCAATGACTTTTCGTAAATCTTGTTCAATACAGGTACAGGGTTCAACGAGTAGTCAACATCGTATGGTTTCTTTCTCCCCCCCTGCTCGAATGCGACAATGTTCTATTGATGAGCACGACACCGATGAGGAATGGATGAAACAATGTATTAATCAGTTTTTATTTGGCTCTCATGCCACCGAGGATGCATTCCAAAACAGCGTCGCCAAAGTCGTTGCCCCATTCACCATTCTCATTAAACGGCCAGTAGCCTGGGTAGACGAGGGCATTGTTGAATGTATCGACAGTCGCTCCGAAAGGTTCGTAAGCTACGCCGCTGTTGGGATTACTGTGCACTCCAAATCCGGATCCAAAGATCCTCTCTTCGGGGGCTGAAAATAAGAAATGATGAAGGAAATTACATTATACGTTTTCCTTGACGTTATCAGAACCGAGGCCTGTAGAAATATTCAGACGTCAATTTTGCTGCAATATTTGAGCTGCCTGCTATTACGTTTTACTGTTACATTGCGGGACACTGTTACATCTTACTGTAACATTTGCACAGAAAAATTCTATGTTGGGGATCACCTTTACTCAGGACTCACCATACCCTAATGAAAGCGGAGAGTCTACTTCTCCTTCAGGTGCAGCAACACGCAATAACGCATACGGGAAAAAGAAAGCATGCAGAAGAAAAAAAATATTGGTTACTCACTGCCGACACCAAGAACTGTAACATCTTGGAAGTATGCGCCAGCCGTGACACTGCTGAGGTCGAGTTGGCCTGTTGGGTCCACGCATTCACTCAAGTCGATCTGGGCCGACCGCTTCGATCCACTCAATTGGGCATCCAATACCGATTCGTAATCCGTCAGCTCCACTCTAAAATGATGGATGCGGTCATCCATTGTCATTGAAGTCGTCTTTCTCATTTGACAAGGATTTCCCAGACTCACCGATTAAAGGAAGGTGCTGAGAAGATAACCCCTTCACCAATGACACACGCAAACTCAGTGACATCTGGAACGTCACCAGGATCGACAGGGTTGAACGCGGCGGCCAAAACCTGCAATATGCCGTCCTCTCCCAAGAGGAACTCTTGGACGACAATATCCCCCCCAGCAACTATGAAAGATAAGAAGTAAGGTGCAGGAAAGGCGAAAATGAAAAGAAAGCAATAAAATGAACTCGTGGAGAGAATAGAATTCTAATCACAGTCTGCGATGGATTGTGAAAAGTGGATTCCTGGCATATCTCCACCC